ATATATTGTTGTATTACTATAAACTAATTTCTATAAACGGTCAATTATTTGTATCATGCAACTTCAATAACTTTTTTCTTTCATCACAAGTTTGACCGAGAAAATAACCAATATTATATTTTTTCATCCCCCCCCCCAACCCACAGTCATATTAGCATATTTTCGTAGTGATAAGAATAAGCATGACCGTCTCAGTGTAGCCTATAATGTTTATGAAATTAGTTTTTGTTCTTTTTTAAATGTAAGTTCTATATAAAGTTTTGGCGCCTCCCTGACACCGGCGCCCGGGGCAAGTGGCAAATGCCCCGCTCATCCGGACCTGAGATGATATTTGGTATTCCTTTTTTACAAATTCTGTACTGGAAATATTTAAATTATGATGAAATATGATATAACTGACTATTAGATATATTTGAGGCACCACCTAAAACTTAATGTGATTTGTGTACTTTTACTGTGCGGGATATTAGCATTAAGTTTTTATAATAATTCGTTTTGTATTCATGTTTTGTTAGTCTTAAGTAATATAAGTTTCGATAATAGTTTTATATAACATAATTAGTGTGTAAGTTTCGAAGTAAATAAATTTTGAGGCTCTCTTTACGGTATTGCCTTAGTACCCAAGTAGCACATAAATAATATATTAACTAAAATAAGTACCGATTTATGTCCTAAAGTCATATTAACATTTTTAATCAGCACTGGTCAAGTTTCGAATCTGTTTAAAGGCATTTTTTTATCTAATAATGCTTAATGCCATATTATAGTTAATAAAAAAAGTATACCAATGTCAAAACTCCTATTTAAGTATTGGCTCATATTAATATAAAGCTGTTATCGTATTTCGGTGATATGAAAAACATTATATATTATATAAGCATTAACGTAATAATATTTAGTGCACTTAGTTGTATTTAGTCATTTTCTAGAAACAAAGGTTTTCTAATGGTCTATGATTGTATCGATTTAATGCTTATCCTATACGAGGGTCAAACTGAAAGTTCTTAGAACTGGCCACTTATAAACAATATAATAAAAAAATAATTCTAAAATTTGAAAATATAACTCTTTGCCAATATTACTGAGTATATATTTCATTCATTTGTCATTTGTTTTACGATTTGGCGGCAAATTGAAAATTGTCTGTGTCACGTCATCATGAATTTAACACGAGAAAATTTTCGTGCAATGATTTTTTATGACTTTCGATGTCATTTAAGTCAACAAGAAAGTTATGATAGACTACGATTGGCCTTTCACGATGAAGCCCCATCTCGTGCGACTGTTTACAACTGGTTTAATGAGTTTAAACGTGGTCGCACTAATCTCACTGATGATTTACGTGAGGGACGGCCTTCTACGGCGACGACTGAAGATAACATCTGTGTTGTGCGGCGTATGATAGAGACTGACAAAAGAGTGACCTATCAACAGATTCGGACAAGCTTAGGCATCGGTATGAGTCAAGTGCACAAAATCCTCCACGAACATTTAGCGGTCAGGAAGCTTTGCGCCCGGTGGATACCTCATAATTTGACTGAAGCTCAAAAACTCCATCGTGTGGATTGGTGTCGTAAAATGATTGAAAGATTTAACGGAGGTGACTCAAATGCTGTGTTCGACATACTAACAGGTGACGAAAGCTGGATTTACTGTTATGATCCTAAAACCAAAAGACAATCTGCTCAGTGGGTGTTTCCTTTCGAGGAGTTGCCAACTAAAGTGAAGAGAGATCGAAGTGCGGGAAAAAAAATGGTGGCCTCGTTCTTTGGAAGGATAGGTCATTTTGCAACAATTGTGTTAGAGGATCAAAAAACAGTTTCTGCAGAATGGTACACTACCAATTGTTTGCCACTTGTCTTGGAAAAAGTTCGAGAGAAACGACCTCGCAGTAGGATCCTCCTTCACAACGACAATGCCTCGTCGCACACCGCCAAGCGAACGATCGACTATTTGGCGACATCAAACGTTGAATTACTGGGTCACCCGCCGTATAGCCCCGACCTCGCGCCTTGTGATTTTTATTTATTTCCAAAAATTAAAGATAAACTTAAAGGAAAGCGGTTTATGAATGCTGAAGAAGCGGTGGCTGCGTATCGCGATGCCATTGAAGAGACCCCTAAGAACGAGTGGGCAAAGTGCTTTTCCCAGTGGTTCCATCGCATGCAGCGGTGTATTGACGTGAATGGACAATATTTTGAAAAGATATAATAAAACTAATAACTGGCTAATGTAATCAGTTTTTGATTTTCTAAGAACTTTCAGTTTGACCCTCGTATACACATTGAATAAAGAACTAGTAAAACTTTAGCACCGATTTGTTCTTAAAGTATTCTTTAATCAAGCTCAAGCTCCTTTATCTTCTTAATCTATGCTTTTATAAAACATTAGGCTATATTTTGATCAATATTAAGTTATTTATAGAGATACAAGTAATAAATAGATAGTAATTATTTTTTATGTGAAATTAAAATGTAAAATTATTTTATTTATTGTATTGTAATGGTGGCATTTTATACGCATCGCTGGCGCCATGGACAAAAAACGTTGGGAAAAACAAAGAAAACAGGTGGATATAAAAGAAAACTGAAAAAAGAGTATTCTAATTTAATTGAAGCTTTTAAAAATCAAAATAAAATGAAATAATCGTTTGATGATTATAAGCACTATAAGATACTTCTGAAGTGTTAAAATACGGCTGTACCTAAAATGGGAGTGTGTTATACGGTGAATTACGAGCTCTTAGTTTTGTGTCTAACCATAATACGATTAACAGCTCTACTACACTATATTTGAATACCTAATGCTTTAATTTTACGAGTCGCCATTTGCTTTCTTTTTCCAATTCTTACAAAATATTTAAAGTTAACTGTGTCAGATAAAAAGGGGTAAACAATCATTTATTTTGTGCACAGATGCCTATAAAAGCAATTATGTTGTTAAAACAATGCTAAAAAGCCTAAAATTCAACAAAAATTTTTGCTACTAGGTTAAATTTTCTATTATTTTTATTATATTAAAGGAAGTTTGCGAAGGCGCGTGTATTTTACACCATAAACTTGTATATTTTACTCCACAAACTGATGTTTGCAGCTTATTTCACACATAACGAGCTGTTTAAATCAATATTAAAAAATACTTAAAAGACCAGCCAAAAGAACATGCCATGACACTTACACAAAACAATAACTTGAACCGATTATATATTTTTAAAATCTATTAAATATACTTTTTTTACAAAGGAAATAAAACAGTAAGCATTTTTATAACATTAAATTAACGTATTATAATTTGATTTACGCATATCAATTGTAATATAGTCACAAAAAGTTCAATTAACACTTTAAGGTGCTAATTGAACTTTTTGTGGCTATGAGAATGCTTTTACCCGACTTTATTAATGCTATTATACAAAAGTTGTAGTGCTATTGCACAGCTTTTATAAAGCTTAAAGTCGTACAAAGGGGGGGCCCAAATTTTACGTATAAGAGTCGTTTAAAAGAAATACGGTTGATATACGATTTTATTATAATGCTTAACGCTTGGACTCGTGCTATTATAAGTTTGATATAATGGTGTTTTGTGCTACTTGGGTAAGGTGCCATGTAAATAGTAGGTTTCGATAGTGGCGCCGCCACTGGTAAAAATAAAGAACTGATTTCTATTGAAAATGTATATAAAGCGTGAAAAATAGTAAATAAATCACTCTCTCGTGTGCTATTGGACTTTCACTATCTTCACCACCAGCAACCCCTCAACCTACTGGGCTCACCCTGACTCTATAGGAATTCCAGTACATTTACAATGGATTATTAGACGCTGGATTCGCAATTGCTTGAAAAATTTTAATAACTCCAGGCACATATAGAAACTCCATATTCTATGGTGGTCCCTCTGTGAGAACGCTTAGTCGCAATATACTTTTAAAACTTCGGTGCTTTATTTCATTGTTATATAATAATATTCTAGCTCTTAAAACATTTCTCGTATTACTTAAAAACTTTATATAATAAAATAAAACATAATAATTTACACACATAACTAGTGAAAGATTCGATTAAAAATAATAGAACCCCTATTTTAATAGTGTACACCGAATCCCTCGTTAAACAATATTAGACGAGTCTTATGTGGATCCGCATTGGATTAGTAACCATCATTCCACGTGCCCAGACTTAAAGCTCCAATTTAGTGTTATTCGAATTGAGACACAAACGAAATCAACAATTTACATAACAACAGCCCGGAAAGGTCGTGCTCTTTGATTATATATTGTTATTTTGTATTTATTTAAGAGTAAATTGAAAAGCGTTCTCGTTCCTTTTATAAAAACGTAATATATATTTCTACGTTGGAGGTAAACACCGGCTAATTTAATTAACGCACAGAGCCTGCAGTTTGTGACGCACCGGATATGTTCGCTACACGCGACCTACGCTACGTTGCTACGTTCGTATTTAATAAAGCGTTGATTACGAAAATATACTTACATAACGTTAAAACTGGGATTACGAGTCGTTAGGAGGGCTTCACGTACAGTCGCTAAATTCTATCCGTTTATTTTTTTTACATATCTACTAAATTTCAAATGAAAATTGTCTTGTAATTGTTGCAATTCACGATCGATTCCACCGACAAGTCTGCAGCGCGCATGAAGCGTCGTCATGCAAACTTGACGGTGTGTGGCTATTGATTTGCATGGTTATCATGACATAACATATGTAAATTTGTCATGCAAGTTGAGAGGCTTACAATGTCAAGCTTGCATGGCGACGCTTCAAGCGCGCTGCAAGCTTGACGACAAACTTGATCATGTATGGCAGCCATAAGTAAGACAACGACTGAACAATAAACATACTCAGAACAATGAAGTGATTATTCCCATAGCAGAGGGACATTTGCTTATGGATCCAATCGTGAATGATTATAAAAAGAATCATAATAAGTAGTTAGTAGAATATGATGATATATGAATAGATGAGATTAATTTAATTCCTTACCTCACTGAAGAATTCGTCCATGAAACCACCTTCAACGGCGACGTTGACATCGTCAGGCCCAACGTCATCTTCGTCGCTTTGCGCCTGCGAACAAATCAAATTCATAATAATACTTCTCATTATAAAGACAAAAGGTTTGATTGTTTATTTTATTTGCATTGAATAAATATAGGTATACATTTATATATATAATATAATATATATAATATAAATATACATTTATCGATTGTGTTATTGGGCCGATTTTTATATTTTTTTCACCTACGGAAAGCTACGAGTACATCATATGTGGGTAAATAAGTTCATCAACATAAAGCTGCGTATAATTTGCTATAAGCTGATGTCATAGGCTATATTAATTGTAATTATTATAACCTAACCTGATTCAATACTACGATGGTTTATACTCTAAAGAGGAAGATTGTAAACTGACGATGTTTACAATTGTAGGTTGACATATACATACAATCCAAAGTTTACTCGCCGCGCCTGTCTTGACGCAATGAACTCAAAAATTACCTAATGGATTTTTAAACAGTTTTCTCGAATACACCAAAAGTAAAACATGTATATAATTCCATAATGTTTCATATGAAGATAATTATTAAAAATATTTAAAAAAATAATGTCGACTAGGAACTTATTTTACATGTAAATTACACCCGTGAGCAGCCAAGGCGGATCGTTAAATTCTATTTAAAGTAAGGCAGTAAGTTCAACAGTAAAAATAAAGATTATAATTCTCAATTCCTTATCGCCACCCTACTGAATAGCGCAAGTACAACGCCAATATTGAATTCAATAAAGTGAGTCCGCCATTATAAGATGCTGAACGAAACGATACTCTTTTATATCCAGTTCCGTCCACTTGACTCATACTAATCACCGATCACATTCGTGATTGGTAACTAGAAACTAACACTCGTATCTACATATAATCGAGTAGTTGTAATTATTATAGTATAATTAATATAATTAACTTAAGCAAATATTTTTTACTTCCACTCGACTATAAATAGGAGTGTAAAAGTCTTCTGTTGAAGACCCAAGCAATACTAATAAATTTCTCTTAAATCAAATGCCACACCTATTGTGTATGTCCAATTGCCGCCACAGAACACAGCAACTTAGATATCTTGTGTGTGATTTATGATCATAATATTATATGATCAAAAGTGCGTTGTTTATTTACTACATAATTTATTATTATTATGCCTAGAATATAAACAGGTAGTAATTCCAGGTGCGTTATTAGTATATTTATTAGTATATAGATCTCTGTATTATTTCTATAGGTCACTGATATTATCGTAGTTACATCAACATAGCGAAGATACTCCAATTATATAATATACAAAAGTTGACAGAATACCATGATAAATATATTTTAAAGATTAATATTATTAAATTACTAGTACTAATTCAAATATGTAAAATCTGCTAAAATTAATTTTAAAAATTTCAACTGCTATAAGTACCTACTAAAACCTCGCGACAAGCTTTTATGATCATATTAATTGTGTATAATGGGATTATAAATTGGTAGTTAAAATTTAAATCGAAAATTTTATTTCTTCTTTTTTTTTAATTTATTTTTTACTTTTTAGTTGTGTCTAGGTAGATTCCTCTGTCTGTTCATCTCATTCAACGCATCATTGTTACAAGGTCGGATACCGATTAATTTTGTTGATTTAAAAAAAATATAATACGAAGCAACCAAAAAAATATCAGCTTAATAACAAGATAAAAATATTTTTGCAAAAAAATAAACTACCTATATGAAAATCTATTATAATTGATTTTGATTAAATAAAAATTAGAATTGTATTTCATATCATATCTGAACAGGGAAAACCACTATAAAGTTGAATAAAACGTTTACTCACTAAAAAACTTGAGTGAATATTTATTTGTTCTAAAAGAAAGAAGGCCAATGCCAATGCACCACTTTATCATACGGTCAATATAGGTCATGGAGACATGTTAATGGAACTACCATTAATTTTGGTGTTAAGCGCATCGAGACCCATTAAGGAACCCAATTATCAGCAGTTTTCGTTACAATTACTAGTGACTTGTCATATCTGTTGGCTGTCGACAAGTACTTAACTAAAAAGGCATAATTTGCCTTTTACCTATTATGTTGATATAGTATGCATAAACTTGTAATAAAATCTTTCTGACTATACCAACTGTATCTTGCTGGTTTCGGTTTCATGAAAAAGTTTAAATTTTAAAGAAGATAACTCCGAATTCGAATTAGGAAAATGTGTGAAGCCGCGAAAAGGAATTGTGATACTTATGGACTTAGTGCAGTTTTTGTGAAAGTAGCACAAGTTTTGTTTAAGCATTTTCAGTCCGGAAATTTTGATGTCAAAGATGCACGTCGTTCCACTCGCCCGGATCAAGAAGTGGAGCAAGATCAGCAAATCAGTAGTTACGACGTAGCTGAAGAACTGAGGATTGACCACAAAACAGTTTTGGCGCATTTTAAAAAAGTTGAGTACACAAAAAAGTTGGATATTTGGGTACCTCACGAGCTCACTGAAAGATATCATTTGTTAATGTGTAATCTTTAGTTATTCTTTATTACGGCGTAATGAAACCGATGAAATTTTTGAAGAAACACATAACTGGTGATGAAAAGTGGATCATGAACGACCAGAACGACGGAAAAGGCCGTGGTCAAGAGTCGGTGAAGTTTCACAGACTGTGGCGAAACCCGGGTTCACTTGCAGCAAGGTGAAACACTGTGTATGGTGGGATTGGAAGGGCATTATTCATTATGAGATATTACAGCCAGGCAGGACCATCGATTCTGAAGTCTACTGCGAACAACTGATGAGATTAAGGCAAGAAGTTGAGAGAAAGCGGCTAGAATTAATCAATGGGAGAGGTGTGGTTTTTCATCATGACCCTACCCTCACACATATTTTGACATTCAGCAAAAATTAAGAGAGTTTGGCTGGAAGGTGTAAATGCATCCGTCGTATATATAGTCTTAACCTTGCACCTTCATATTTCCACCTGTTTCGGTCTCTTCAGAATTTCGCAATGGCATGTCGAGAATAGGTGACCAAAAATTATTATCTCGAGCCCCTCCGTGCTTCGGGAGACACGTTATGCCGTTGGTCACTTTTATCAATACCAATCAATCCGCAATGGGCGCGCATGGTTGGTCAAGGCCCATTGTCCTTATTCGATTTCATTCGATTCCATCCACAGGGAAGGCCTGAGCCCCAGCAATGGGGACATTAATGGGCTGGTGATGATGACGATGATAATGAAGAATCTAGAAACTTTTTGTTATGAGCACTCCATAAACTGAAAAAATGTTATCTTAATCGTATATCGTTAATAATCGTAAACATTGCGGGTAAGGTTATCGTTAAAAAAATCATTAAAATTTATTGATAACGGTAATCTACTCGGTAATTCATATGGGTCGATTTGATTGAAAGTAATTACGATTTACTGGAAATGACGTTACACTTGTTTCTGAATAACTAATATTGCATTTTACATTAAATAATCGTTATTGATTTCTTCGAATAAAGTAGGCAGACGTTAAGGAAAACCTTTACTACCCACATAGTATAGCACAACAGCATCTGTAAGTATCTACACATCGAGCGTTTTGAAAGCCTAGTCGGATATCCCCTCTGTACACATTGAACACACGCTTTTTGAGCTAGAAGCGCAAGTTTCAATGTGTAGAGGACATAGGGAGGTATCAGACTAGAGGATTTTCAAAACGTGCCTTACAAATGCGCTTTTCAAAAAGCTCGATGTGTGTGTGTGCTTATTGTAGTAATAGTAACCCTCTATACTTATCGAATGGGTATTTTTCAAGTACAGGTTTGGCATTCCAATTTAAATGTGAGGTTTGTTCCAATAGATAATTTATATATCAATCTTCACTATCTTGTACATATATTTTAACTTATCATTATAAAGATGCGTAAAACATGGCGAAGCGTGAGCCGTGAATGGTGAGTCCTTTATTGTGTAGCCAGAGTGTGACTTCGCCATTACGCGATGAGTGAATTCAGTGCGAGCTATACGTTGTATGACATTTTTCTATTAATTTTAATCCTAAGTTATTGTTTGCGTTAGTCTTGACCATACCGTAGGTTCATTATCAACCGTTCGCAACGTACAGTTTACAATGTCTGTACGCGCCATTGCATTTATATCATATTCTAGATAAGAGATATCTAAGTGCTTATCTTCCCATCTCACATCAAGTATGTATTTATATATGTTTTATCTTCTTGTATATTAAAAGCCGTAACCGTGTACATAAGATGTTTGTAAACACTAAATTGAGGCTACGAAAAATTTTGTTACGTAAAAAGATAATAGTTTTGCAAAGGTTACCAGTTAAAATATTAATTGTGCTATATACAGGTATAAGCATTTTAAATCAACGTTTAATGATGTTGCACTTAACCTTGGATTCAAACTATAGGAATATTAGTGTCAAATTTATTAGAAAGCTCATTATTATAGTCATTGAGAATAAATTCAACCAAGCGGACCAGACCGGTCAAGGTCGCACTGCTCGCAACCCGTTGACTCAACAAAGGCCGGTTACCATAATATCTCACTTCATCCTGACAGGGAACAATACCACCCGAAGGGTCAATGTGATTGTAATAAGTACGTGCCGAAAAGACAGAAGTGAATGTCGAAATATTATTTCATAGAACAACTCCTTCAATTAAATTAAAAATATACGAAAAACGTTTTGTTAATTAAACTTTCACATATAAGTTTCGAGATGTGGGAACGAGTTGCTGAATCAGGAGGCGAGTCACGTAATTCAATCGAACCACAGTATGTGTGATATCATCCCTGGCGAGCTTCTACCGAGCCATTTACTAATAAATATTACGAGCTTATGATATTTCATATGATCACAGCTTTCCTCGCATGTAAAAGTATAAGAAATGTGTGTATATTGTTTATAATTAATACATACATTAAAATTAAATACAGTTTTTAAGCACTTGCCAACACAACAAGCACGTTTAGCTAAAATGCAGTATCCTAAAAAAATACTTGTATTCTTTGAACATGAC